GCTTGCAGCGGCTGCTGCAAACGGGCCCTGGTCCGCACTGCCTATAGCATCGAGGGTCGCCTCTTCGAGCTCGCGCTCGTGCTGGAGCTCGCTGCCGCGGTGCTCGCGCTCACCGAGCTTCGGCTCTCAAGGGCCCAGCGCGCGCCCCAGCGCCCACCTTGGACGGCCAACTCTCGCCCAAGACGACCCGACGCAGTCCCCATAGACAGCCCAACGCGCCCCGAGACGACCTGGCGACCCGACCCATGACGGCCCAAGACGCCACAAGAGTACACATCATGTCGAACGGTCGGCTTCATCTCAACCTGATGTCGGTTGTGGAATTCAGCAGTCGGCGCCATCCCAACCTGGTGCCGATGGTGGAATTCAGCAATGAGCACCATCTCAGCCTGGTGTCGATTGTTGAATTCAACAATCGACACCATCTCCACATGGTCTCGATCGTTGAACTCAACAATCGACACCATCTCAACCGAATATCGATTGCAAGTGGTGTCGTCGCGAGCTGCGGTCGATGCAGACTTCCCAACGATGGTGGCGCTCCGCCGACTAGTTGCACATAACCCGAAAGTCGCTTCCAATCTTCTTCCAGGGTCCTTCCGAAGCCCCTTCCGAGCACCCACTCCTGAGCGGAGCTGTGGACGTGGGCGAGACGGGGCCAGCCGGGCTGCATAAGCGGAGGCGGACTACAGAGATGAAGACACGAGGGGTGGACCGGATGGACGGAGATGGACTGGATATGAGGACGGGGGGCGCGGGCTGGAGAGGTGGAGGCGAGGAGGAGGACAGTTTCGCTCCAACTGCAGCTGCGCACAGCACTGCAATCGGGCGCCCTGGATTGCGGCGCGAGCAAGCCGCCAGCGCCCGCAGCCGCGCTGGCGAGTTGGCGCCGCCAGCGACGCGACGCGAACGGGTTGGCAAAAGGCGGTGAGGCGTCGCCATGCCGCTGAACGCCGCGGCACTGCACATTGGACGAACACGTGCAATGACAAAGCACAGGCGTGCAACCTGCATGGCTCATCCCATGAGCCATGCAGGTTACACACCTGTGCTTTGAGGTATAGCTATTAATGTGATGTTGTTCTCTTCCGTTTATCGACTGTGCCCCCGAGCCCAGGCTCTGCTACGTTGTACATGCTAGCATGTTTTCCATGAGCAATTGCTCTCGCGCCAGTCTCGCTGCGACTGCGCCAGATCGTCCAATGGACTGTGCCGCAACGCAGTTGGCTCGGCGCACGAGTGGCGCACGCGTGCTCTCACGCGAGTTGGCCGAGCGATTGAAAAGCAAGCGGCGGCCGCGAACCTTTAGATGGCGCATGCGCGGGCGTCGCCATGCCACCTGGAAGCCGCCGCTCGCGGCGTCCGTCGGTCACGATGCCATCTGCACGTACGGCTCGCGACTCACGTGCGTCACCATGCCGCCAGCGCGGGCGGCTCACGGCGTCGCTCCCGAAACGCTTCACGCTCGTCATGCACAGCGCACGCGGCCACGCATCAGAGCCCAGCAGGCGGGTCACACTGGTGACCGCTGTGGTCCTGCCAGAACGTCAACTCCTCGCCGGGGGTCTGCGGGTTGAAGTTCATCCCACTCTCGGCCAGCAGGGCGCAGACGAACGAGGACCAGTCAGGCTGACTCTGCCAGCCCGAGATGGCGAGCGACGCAACGATATGCTTGTAGGAGTCGGCCGTCTCCCTCGCCCCCTGGACCATCTCGCGCAGCATCGCGGTGCCGCTCCTGGTGGACACCGCTGGATGCCTCTTCTTGCCCCAGTGCGGAAATGTGCGCGTACTCTGGGAACGTCTGCGGTTCACCAGCGCGCGATGGGCACCATGCGAAGATGTTGCCTTCCGACTCGAGCTCCTTCCTCTGCAGCGTCATCGCTGTCGTGATGTACCACCCGCGGTGGTCGACCTCCTTCATGTGGTCGTTGCGCAACAGGAAATGCTCCTCCTTTTTCAACCATTTGGCGTCGTTCTGTGGCGACTGATGCCTGTGGACCGACGAGCCGTCGATTGTGCCGATCTTCCAGTAGCGCCCAGACACCTGCATGGTGGACTCGAGCGCACGAGCCACCAAAAAGGTGCACCGCTCGGCGCCCTCTCACTAACACCTCCTCGGCGCTGCAGCGCTGAGGTGGTGTTAGTGGGAGGGCGCCTCGCGACGCGACCGATTGGTCGGCGGTGGGTTCGAAACGCCGCAATCTGCCAGCACCTCCTGTTCCTGTCCCCCTCGCCCTGCGAAGCAGGTTCGTTCGCGTACTTCGAGTCCGAGCTGATAATCACGAGATCCGTGAACACGTCGAGCTGTGAGCCCTGCAAGGTGCGGAGCTTCTTGAGCATGGTGGCCGCCGCCCCCGCCGGACGAGCGCGCGTCGCGGCGTCCTCGCCGGCTTCGTCTACAGGTGGGCCATCCCGCTTGGGTATGGGTCCATCATTGCCCTTGTCCTTGCTGGTATTCCGCTCTTGCCCTTGCCCTTCAGCACCGGCGAGATGGGCGCGGGCCTCTTGGCCGGGGGCGCGGCGGCGAACATGTCGGCAATGCCCGACGCGACGCCGGCGCCCATCAGTAAAAAATGCGCGGGGGACAGGTCATCAGTTGACGGGCGCTGCGACGGCAGGCGGGGTCAGGCGGGGGGCGAGAAGGCACGGCGAGGAGGCGCCGCAGCGGCGAGCGCAGGAAAAAGGCTATCATCGTCGCGGCACCCGCCAACATCAGCGCCCAGCCACCGCGCCACGGCGCACGCGCGCGATTGCCTGCAGAAAGGGTGCTAGAAGAGCGCTTCCTACAGGCGCTGTGCCATCGCAGCATTGAGCCACTGCGTCAGCAGCGAGCCCGCCCATCAGGGCGCAAGTCCAGTGGGACAATCCTGCAAAACAAATGCCACGCGGCGTGGACCAATCGGTCGACGGCGAAATCCATGGTTGATGATGGCAATTGCACCGACGGTGGAATTTGCAACGGCATCCGTTTTCGACTCTGCCGACGCCCCTTTTCCGTCAACGTGCTCATGCGTCTGCCGCGGGCGCAGCGTCTGAGAGATCGCCAAGATCCATCGACGCCGCCCCCTCATCCTCTCCCCCCTCATCCAAGGGCGACGCCTCAACGCTCGTTGCCCACTCTGGATGCTGACTTTATCGCAACGGAGCTTTTTTTTATATATTTGTTTATTTAAAGCGGGACACCTTAGAGCTCCCCCATAGCACTTCCACAGACCCTTTGGCCCGAACTGCCGCCTACCCTGCAGTTGGTCGTACCTTCGATGGCAATGTCCTTGGCCATGAAGCGCGCCACCGCTATGATGTTCGCACTGGTAGCCATGCGATGGGCTCTTCAACATCTCGACTGCGTTGCCATCCAAGCAGACACTTATCAACTGGCTGCGGCGACGCACGCCGGCCACGACAACCCTCGTACATCTCAGACCACTCGTCTTCACGGCAGCAGACTTCACTGGAATATCACAATCGTGTTTTTCGTCTGCAAAGAGCGTGGACTTGGCGCGATCTCTCCTTTAGAGGCCATCGCCTGCTGGCGGAGCTCCCTGAGCATCGCATACCCGACGGTGTGGCTGAGCGAGATCTTCTCGAGGTCCACGTCCGCTAGGTCAAGGCCCGCGATGGAGGCGACCATGCGGATCGAGGGTCGTTCGCGCGGGCTGATCGCCACCACCGGTGCGCCTTCGGCCGTCAGCGCCACATTGGGGCTCCACTTAGTAAGCAGCCTCTGTCCATCGGGCGTCCAGTATCAGACTTGCAAATGTATGCCACCCTCGCTGCCTTGCGATTGATCCCAAGCGGCTATCATATATGCACGCGGAAGTGCACCGCAGGAGGATGAGGACTACCCTCGTTGCGCAAAGCATGCAAGAGCGACACCTCAAGAGCGACAACTCATGCCGACGCGACTCCGTGGCGACGCCAACTCAAACATATGTTTAAGGTATGCCTGCACGCCCCGCGTGATTTACACTACACATCGCCACTGCGTGCTGGCTACGGAGTGGGCCAGTGCGCTCGCCGCGCGGGCAGAGTTCGCGCACTAGCGGCACGCGCCATCGGCGTCGCACGCGCGCACCTTCCTCAACAAAAAACCTTTGGCATCATGTAAGGTGCGCTGCGCTGGTCGAACTTGCGTGCTGCACGCTGCTGCTCCATGTGCGCCGTTGTAGGCCTCCATGCCTTACTCACGCTGGCCTCCCTGTAGGTCAGCTCCGCAGCGACGGTGCCCCACGTCGCTATCTTCCTGGCGCTAGCCGCATCCATCTCCCACGACGAGTCAACGTCCATCGAGGTGTCCATGTCGGCCACGAGATGTGCATCAACCTCCTTGGTAGCCCAGGGGTGCAAGCGGTAGTGACTTGACCCGCGTGCGCCTGCAATGCGGTGACAATGAGATCGGTGCATGACAACAGCCAACAGAAAACGCCACGCTGATCATGGACCCGCATCTCACGAGTTGCAATGGTGATTGAAAAACCATGCGGCGCCGAGGCACGCAGCCTGCATGGAAACATTTTTTTTTGGGGGGGGGCATCAGGTCGGATGCGACTTGGGAACATTTCGAACCATCTTGGAAGCGCTCATCCTCTGGACTGCCTTCGGGCTGGGTGGCCGTTCGGCTCAAGGGCTGCCGCGCGGCTTCTACGGCGTACCACCCACGCGATCCGCGTGCATGGTGGTCCGTGCGCATCCATAAATTTACAGAATGATGAAGAATGCGCATGGTTATTCGGGCCATCTAGTCAGCGTCGTGCAGAAGGTGGTCGACTCTGCCAATAACGGCAAGACACCATCGATCACGACAGACGAGGGCATCTCAGATATCCCCACGAAAGATCACATCTTGACGGAGCGCACTCTGTTGGCGGACAACATTCTGGTGCACCCGACCAATAGGGGCAAGCTTGGGCTTAAATCATGCAACGTTTACAGGAATCTAGTGGAGATAATCGCTAGCGGGCTGCGACCTAAAAGAGCCCAACAAAGCAACGCGTTTCGAGATGCGTCCGTTCGGCCCCGCGAAGAGCACTCAGAAGAAGTTCGACGTCGACCTGTGCCAACGCGCCAAAGGGCTCCCGATGCGCCCCATGGGGCACGAGTCGCTTTTGAGCGCGGGCGCGGGGCACTTCGCCGCCGCCGCGCGGGCTTGCAAGGCCAATTGCAGAACTCCGTTCAAGAACATTGCCACTGCATACGGCTTTCTGTACGAGGAGCTCGGACGGCGTGACAAGCGCGCGGGTCGATGCGTGGCCGAGGGTTGGAACTGGCGGGCGTCCATTTGGCACTGCGAGGTGGCGCGGTCAGGGATGCCTGACCTGTGTCAGCGGGCACTGAGCGCCATGCATGGGGTAAGCCCACGGAGCGCAGCGCTCGAGACCACGGTTTGGCTCTCAGACCTGCAATCCGACAAGGGCGATGCCATCGCGGCGGCCAGTGCGGCTTCGCCCCTGCGCGCGTCGCGCATCGAGGCCGTCGCCCGCTTGATTGACCCCGTCAGCGGTGGCTCGTGCCAACTCCGAAATGAGGTGGTCATGTCGTCGACGTCTCGTGCATAACTCGCTTCGCATCTAACTCGCATCGCCTCTAACTCGCGCTCTCTAACTCGCCCCCCCCCTTTTTTCGACCTGCGGTCTTCCGTGTGCCTCCTCCTCGACGACCTGTGGTCTTCGGCGCTATATAGACTGCCCCCTTCAGGCGGCGCCGGAGGACCAGTGCCGCACTTCTTGGACAAGTTCTCAAAGACGCTCGGTGAGAACAAAGCCCTCGGAGAAGAGCTCATCGCATCGATTGCAACCGCGGAACTCAACAACTATGACAACGCACCGTTCTTCCGCGCTGCCCTCGCGGCCACTAACCTTGCGCCGGAGAAGGTGGCAGGCGTGGCGGGGCTGATCTATGGGGCCGACGTGGAACAGCCGAAGAGCAAGGCTGAAACCACCCAGCTGAACAGCGCCGTGAAGCGCTTGGAAGGCGGCCGAAGGGGCGATGGGCGAAAAAAGGAACCACCGATCTAGCGTTTGACCGGGCGGTCGGCGAGTTCACGGCGCGGGCCGCGCCCTTCAATGTCGAACGGCTGCAGCGCTCGCCAGACAAGAAGGGGGGCTCGAAAGCATGGGTGGCATCAAATCGCGTTTTGCAAATTACTTGGCCAAGGCTGCCGGCGATGCGGTCGCGGACCTGCAGGGCCTCGGTCAGGTCAACGAGCCGCCCGAGAGGGTCGGGGCTGAAACGTCCGAGAAGGAGAGGACCGGCCGCGCGACGTTCGACGAGATGCGCCGCGCTCCCACGCGCGCCCTGGAGGGCCGAGCGGAGACCGAGATCGGTTCTCAAGTGGGGAAGAAAAACACTGTGGAGGGCCAGTTGTTCGAGGTAACGGCCGTCGACGACGATGGCGCTGTCTCGACGTCCGAAGTCAGAACGTTCAATGCCGATGAGTGCCCCCAGGTCAGCGTCGACTACAAAGCCCTGATCAGCGACTGGGAGGTCATCGAGGAGCAGGTGTCCGAAAAGTGCGCGGCGCAGGACTGCGCAATGTCCGCGTTGGCACAGGATCGGCTGCGGCGCATGATATCCAGATCCAACTGCGAAGAGCAAGTTGGTCTGATAAAGTCTGGCAGTCTCTGCGAGGGCCCACCCTTATTCTACATGGAGAACCCTTGCGGCCCGGCCACTCCAGCAGCAGTTGGCAAGAACGTCCTCAAGTTCGCCCCGACAGTGCCACTGCAGAACATCACCTGTTGCAAGGAGAAGGGTGGCTTGGAAGGCAATCTGGAAGCGGGGGGCAAGGGGGGTGGCTTCTTCGCGCCGCGCTGGTGGGTGGGGCCTGCGGCTGCCGAGGAGAAGGCGAACGTGAAGTTCGCGAAGGTCGTCGGCGCCGACGGCGCGAGCTCCCCCGCGCTGCAGGACTTCGCGCCGCTGAAAGTGCACGAGAGGCTGTATTTCTACAAGCCCAAGGATGCGAGGCAGGCCTTGCAGAACGCGACGGCGATTGGCGCGGGCGGCGACAGCGGCCGGAAGGGCGGCGCGGCTGGCCAGGGCAAGGACAAGCCGAAGAAGGACAGGGGCGGCAAGGGCAGCGCCAGCTCGGGCGGTGGGAAGCCCAGCGAGAGGGTGCGCAAGGCTTGAGTCTGCAGGCGCTGAGTGAAACGAAACTGCTGGAATGTTTCCGTAGCGCGCATCTCGAGCAGAAGCTCCTCCAAGGTTTTCGGCCGTCCGCGCCGTCGCCCATGTCGGATCGATCAATGTGTTCCGAGCAGCAAGCTCGCGCTCTGAAGACAATGATGTCGGCCGATGGTCATGCATGCAATTCTACATATTTATGTATACATAAAAGTATATATGTAATATATAAATGTACACAGATGACAGTGGCGACTGCCGCTGGATTGCAATGGGCCATGAGCTCCATGACCAGAAGCTCTCCGTGAGCCGTGTGCTCCACGAGCCATGGGCGCCATGACCAGAAGCCCTCCGTGAACCATGGGCCCCGCGAGCCATGAGCTCCACGCGCGCATGCCCCAAGACGGCCCAAAAAGGCCAGCGGCGGCCCCGAGGTGCCCCAGGGCGGCCCCGCGCGAGATGAAGAAGATGCACGTGGAACTGCACGTGTCCCGGCAACAAGCTCCCGCTCTACATGGGTCTCGGCCTGAGGGTATACATGTGCATATGTATAAGTATGCACATACAAACAAATTGCGATGGCGACGACAGCTGGAAACAATGAGCCATGAGCCCCGCGAGCAGAAGCCACCCGCGAGCCATGAGCTTCTCGAGTCATGAGCTCCACAAGCTGCTGAAACCCCCCGCGAACCATAAGCTCCATGAGCCGTGAGCCATGAGCCCCAAGCAGAAGCTCTCATGCCCCGAGAAGGGCCGAAAGGACCAGCGACGACCCCAAGGTGCCCATGCCCCAGGATGCCCCAAAACGGCAGACGGCGCATAGACGATTGTGATGACGATGGAAGTGTTATATGAAGACGGCGAATGGTATTCGCGTGTCCCCATGGGACCTGTTCCATCCATGGCGCTCGCGCTCTCAAGAGACGTGTCTCGACCGAGCGGTATGCATGCACGCAAGTATGTACCTTCACACGTGTAGATTGTATAGGCGTGTATCTATATACGGCGATGGCGACGGCCGTCAACACAATGAGCCATTAACTCCATGAGCAGAAACTCTCCGTGAGCTCCGTGAGCCCAATGACCCATGAGCTCTGTGGGCATGATACCCTCCGCGAACCATGAGCTCCATGAGCCATGAGCTCGTTGAGCGCGAGCTCCCACGCCCCCACGGCCCGAAAGGCCAGCGATGGCTCCAAGATGCCACGGCCCCAGGATGCCCCAAGCTGCTCCGAAAGACAGCCTTCGACGGACCATGGTAATGATGATGACTATTTTTTCGATGGTGGCGACAACAGGTATAAGCGTACCTTCTAGACACATGGAACGATCGGCTCACATGTTGAAGATACCTGTCCCGACCGACAGCATATATGCATACATGTATACACATTTCGGTCTGTACCGATGGCGACGGCCGTCGGGCACAACGAGCCATTAGCTCCATGAGTCCAAGCTCTCCGTGAGCAGTGAACTCGATGAGAAATGACCCCATCTCCGCGAGGCATGCGTTCCACGAACCATGAGTTCAATGGGCTGAAGCTCTCATATGCCCTCCAAAGGCCCCCCAAGACGGCCCCAATGTACCCCAAGACGGTTTTTCGGACGGCCCCTGGATAATGGATTGTGATGAGGGTGCCGATGTTTAGCTGACAGCGGCCAATGGCATATGTGCATTCGAGTAGTACCCGCCTCCCTGGACCATGCACTCGCCGCGCACAGCAATGCACTTCAAACGTGGCCCCACCTTCATTCGGGGCGTGCATGGATTAGCCACATGCACGGGGCGGCAAGCACAACTCCAGACAATTAGCGGATGCTTATAATCGATAGCAAAACTATGATTCGAATTATGTAAGCTCTGCTGAAGTGAGTACAACTCATTGGAATTATGTAAACTACGTTGCACATATATTGAACTTCTGCATATATTTCGACATTTTTATGATTGCACAACTAGTTTGCAACATTTGTATGTATAGTGTGTACGATTTGTAAGTACATGTTACAAAGTTGATCAACTTCTACAAATTAAGCAGAAAACAGGTTCCATTCAAATCGGGGGACATGCTCGACGTAAGCTTAGGCCGTGGGCAGGTTGTCGCGCAGGCCCTGGGTCTTCATGTACTACACCGCTACCGCGAATGCTCTGCGCGTGCGAATGCGCTCTCCACATATCGGCGGGGCTCGCAGAAACGATCTCGCCTGGAACGTGATGGTTTCCAGCCCCGCCGCCGTCGGAAACCTGGCCGGAACCCGGGACAGCCTTCTCCCCACCCCCTCGCGTCACGCAGAAATCACGATGAGAGGTTTCTTCCGTATTTTCGCCCTCTGGGGGCCATCGCCGGGCCTCGGGACCGTCAAAACACGACTCAGGATGGAAAGCCGGTCCCGGGGAACGGGTCCGGACCTCTGGGGGTCGCGTCATGAAAAAAATCATGGCGTCGGGGAGTCGGGGGTCTGGGTCATGTTCATCCAGTTACATTTCTTCCTCGGTAGCTCTGTCTGTCACCATCGTGCCCCCTCTTCACAATCATCCTTACATGTTTCTTCTTGTCCTTGAATATATCGTCTCCCCTCGCATTCGTCCCACTCGTCCCTCTCCGCCTCTTTGGCCTCATGCTACTGCTGCTTTGCCCGTTGCTCTCAGTGACTGTCCCATCGCAGGGCACCAGCCGAATCTCTCGACAACAACGTTGTGAAATCCGGAGGCGAATGGTAGCATGCGGAACACGGCATTCGCGCGCTCCGCAGTAGCAGCAACGCGATGGGACGCAGATGCGAACATAGAAAGGCGAACGTGCGAGAAACAAATAATCAATCGGCCAAGCCAGGCGGTGGAGAAACTGGTCCAACTGCTTGATGCTGAAATGAAATGTGGGGCCAGGCTTGAAATCACTGGCGCTCAGCGAACACATGTTTTGGCGTCGTGGCACCACGCGCAGCGATCAGGTAGAGATACAAAGAACGCGCGCGGCTGGCCCCTCAGAAAATAGGGCAAGGGCCCAAGCACGGATCAACCGTGCCATCCGTATACCCGGGGATGGGCAGCGAGAGGGGTGGTGGACGACGAAGTGAGCAGTACGTACACAGCGATGAACGACAAGGAGAGGCGAGGTGCCACTGAATGGATGCGAACAAGGGACAAGGTAACAATGCTAACAAACACACCCACACACACACACGCGCACACGCACGCACACACACACACACACACAAACACACACACACACACACACACACACACACGCACGCACGCACGCACGAACGCACACACACACACACTCACACACACACAGACGCGCACACACATTTGCATCGCGGCCGGTTGATCCAACACAGCAGGGACAATAGCGGGACGCGCTAAGCTGATCACCAGAACTGGCGACGCACACTACCCACAAGCAACATACTTGAATTCTGGTGCTGTGTGCGCGATGGAAAGCACAACAATGCCTTGCGATGGAAAGCCCAACCAGGCCTATGCCAACCGCGTCCACAGTGAGGCAGTCGGGAAGACAGAGGAATTCAACTGTTGGGCAAGTAGGGTAGGCAGAAACTCGCGCTGGCTATTTATCTCAGCGTTGAATGCGCAATCTGACGTATGTCTTTTCAAATGCCAACCACGTCCCACCGCATCCCATCCGACCGCAGACAAGCGAGCATTGACGTCAGAGAACCCATTGTACAACTGCAAGGGCACCAACGCCAAAATCTGCATGCAAGCCAACTGAGCGTCGAATGAAGAGTAACGGCATGTTGAAAATGATGGAATTGAGGAGAGGATGAGGAACTACGGCGACTTTTGGAGAGACGCATTTGGCAAATGATCCCGGCACAGGGCGATGTTATACTTCGGTCGGGCATGTCCTCCTACAAGCGGATGTTGGAGAAACATTAAAAACATGAAACAACAACAAAAAAAACTAGCCGAAGAAAATCGAAACATCGCCCCCAGGCTATATTCTAACCACCCTTGAATATTCCCCCTGTAGAGGGACATGCCCAGTTTAATTCTAGACGATAGTGAAGAGAACACGCGGGCGGCGGTCTCTCAGAGACGGGGGGGAGGGGTGCAAACGGTGTCCTGCAACGAGGCTGACGCTTCTCGTAGCTGCCGGTTGAGGTCCTCGTGCGGCAACCGTGCAAGGGGGTTTGGGGCCCTTCCCCTCCACATTTTCTTCCCCCTCTCCCGCCTGCTCGCCCCTGTCCAACCCCTCTCCCAGCCCCTCTCCCCTCTCCCAACCCCGACCCCCCCCTCTCCTCTGCTTTTCACCTCTCCTTGCCTTCGCCCTCCCCAACCCCCCGCCCCACCCCCCCCACCGACCCCACCCCACCCCGAAACCAAAAAACACTTGCCCCTGCCCTTCCCCTCTTTCGCCTCTCCTCGCGCGAACACAAACAACATGCGCTTGACAAGCGAAACAAAACGAAGCGCACTCATCACTACCTTCATGCCGGGGGGGCTGTCGCAACAGCCACTCGCTGCAACTCAAGAGTCCCCCTCCCCCACCCCGCTGCTCCCTGCTTGAGTTCCATCCTTCCCTTCCCCGTCCAAGATATCCTACTCCAGGTCGCACCCTTTCTCACGTCACTCCACATCGTCCTCCTCATCTCTGCCATCATCCCATACTCCTCGTTCGCCGTTCTGGCCCAGGTTTCCAGATTTGCGACAGCATGCGTTCAGAACGGCATCGTCCCGTCGCGGGCCGTTTTCGGCACCGTCGGTTTACAACTCGATGGCGCGACCCTTTTCTCGTATTCCTGCGGGGATCGCCAGTCACGTCCCGAGAGAAGCGATGTCAGGCGGCAAAGGCGGGAAAGGCAGTGACAAAAGGACAGTCTCACGGGCGCCGTGGGAAACCGCAGCTGGTCGCGAACGAGTACCCGCAGCTGAGTACGTGACCACGACGTGCACGCTTGGCCTCCTATGTTGCCTGGCCTTCAACCTCATGCGGGCCGCGCTGGCTCTGGGCGTGACTGCGCGGCTCCACGCAGCAGGGGGC